TTGTACATCATTCTCAAAACATTTTCTCTCCACTTAAACCCCCGACATTAGGTCCTCATTTTTCCCCTCCCTCCCCGCTCCCCCCTCCCTCATGAGCCCTTGATAGTTTATAAATTTGTATTTTGTCATATCTTGCCCTGTCCGACGTCTCCCTTCACCCACTTTTTGGTTGTCTGTCCCCCAGGGAGGAGGTCACACACACCCTCTTTCCTACCCATTCTCCCTTTACCCTCCCTGTTTCGCCACTCACACCACTGGTCCTGGAGGGCTCATCCGTCCTGGATTCCCTGTATTTTCAGTTCCTATCTGTACCAGTGTGCCTCCTCTGGTCTAGCCAGACTTGCAGCTCTTACAGATATTATAACAATCCATAATTCAATTAGATCACCCCTAATTGTACAGTTGCTGCCACCATCAGACTCAAAACATTTTCTCTCTTTCTGACTCTGCTTCCTGTTTTGATGGCTCCGCTTTTTCTAGCCCCTTCCTGAACTTTGCTCTGGGGGATGCTGCCTTTCGGGTCTCCGGTGGCTGATTATTCTCTCTCCCCACCTGTGTCTGAAAGTGAACTGGTGTGTCACCAGCGACTCTGAGCCCACGTCAGTTTGACTTGTCCTCCTCTGTTAGCTGCTTAGACCAATGTTTGGATCCGCGGGGTAAGGGATCTGCAGGGATCTTAAGGCTGGGAGCCTTCATTCTCTCGCTCTTAAAGAAGCATATTCTATGTAGTTGTACAGCCCATCAAAGGGGGTGATCATTCGTTGCTGTTGTTGTTTTTTTAACTCATTTTTTTGGGAGCTCTTCAATCACATCAAGCATTATTGTACAATTGCTACCACAATCAGTTTCAAAACATTTTCTTTCTAATTGAACTTTTTAATGTCAGCTCCTGTTTATCCCCTCCCTCTCCCATCCTACCCCTACCCCAGAAACCCTAATGTATTTATTTTTAAGTTAGAAACATTTTATTTTAATTCCTGGTCTTCACCAGTGGGAACCAGACATTCAAATTGTTTTCCTTTCCTTTCGCAAACGGCCAGTGTTTTCTCCCTGCTTGAATGGGAGGCAAACACTACAGGAGAGACTCGGTCCAAACCAAACGCACTGCCACCGAGCCGATGCCAGCTCGTGGCGACCCAACAAGACACAGCAGAGCTGCCCCTGTGGGTTTCTGAGACTTAGCTATTCGCAGGAGTAGAAAAGCCCCGTCTTCGTCCCGGGGCGTGGCTCGTGGTTTTGAACTGTGGACCCTGAGGCTCGCCACAGCCCCACACGTAACCATCCTATGGGAGATACAGAGGGCAACTCAGCCCTTGCAGGCCATCTTTAGAAGGTAATGAATTAGCTAGAATAGAAGCGTCAACAGCTGCTTGGGGTTGGCAGGAGTCTGGGGAGAGCAGGGTGGCAGCATTAGAAGGTGGCGCCAGAATGTCGTCCTGTTACAGACCTTCCTGTGCCTGACAGTCTCCCTTTGGGCTTAGATTACTCATTTGTGTTAATCAAGACCACTCCTCCCATAGCAACCATGTAGGTCAAGACCACTCCCACCCAGAGCAACCGTGTAGGCCAGAGCAGAGCCACCCAGCACACTTCTAGGCTGCTGTTTGTACAGAAGCACATTGCGGCAGCTTTCTCCCCCAGAGCGCCGGGTGGGCTTTAGCCTTTCAGCTAGCGGCTGAGCACTGAAGCCCGGCACCGCCAGGGCGCCTGCTTCTGCTTGTCTGTAACATTGCTTCATTGTCCGTTCTGAAGAGCTGCTGCGGCTTTTGATTCATCCACTTGCACGAAGGAGCCAGGCGCCTGGGTTTCAGGACTGTAGGAAAGAGAGCAGCCCCAGGTCACCCTCCTCACCCTTAAATCCCCAGCCTATCGGCAGTGCCATTGGTCAGTTGGCCCCAGGTGTGAGCCTGAGTCTTCCTGGCGGCCACAGAGCCTCTCCCCAAGCCACCCATTTCTTCCCATCTCATGCCCCGACTCGCACCCCTGACGTGTCCCCTCACTTCCTGACTCATCCTGCTCCTCAGCCCCTCCTGCCTCCTGAGGCATCTCCCTGGGCCCTCACTTCCGGCTCAGCCCTTTGCCCCTCCAGTCGTGTCTTCTTCTTCAGCTCAGCATTCACCTGCCACCTGTTGCCCCAGCACCCCACCAGCCATGGCCACCTCCTATCCTTTCCATCCAGGGACCCAAGCACAGCCCTTTGTTCAAGACCCGGCTCTGGGAAGCAGCCGGCTGCCACGGGCCCTGCCTCCTTCCCTCCCTCCCTTCCTGTCAATGGAGGTTCAGAGTATATTCTGTGAGGTGTACGCTCTAGTGACTTCCGGGTGATCTGAGGGAGCTTCCTCCGGGAGGTGCCAAGCCTCAGCCTGACCTGCCTCAGAGCCCCGGGCCCCAGCCAGCTGCATAGGGCAGGGCAGGGCCAGGCTGCAAGGGGTTCCTGGGAAGTGTGTAGCTGGCAGCGTTTACCCAGGTGGTCTCTGCAAAGGCGGCAGCTCCAATCCCTGGTGACCTGGTTCGCGGCAAAATGAAATGGGGCCCTGTCTGCCGCTGTCTTCACGACGGCCGGCGTGTTGGAGCCCGTGGCTACAGCCTTGGTGTCAGTCCGCCTCATCGAAGGCCCCCTTAGTCTTTCACAGCACCAAGCATGGTGGCCTCTCCTGTGGATGCATCTGAGGTCTAAGGTAGGTGAGGTACATACCCTAATTACGAGCACCCAGAGAGAGAGGGTGTTTGCAGACCCCCGGAAGGTTCTTTGGGCTCTTGCCCGGTCAGTACTGTTTCTCCAGGGCCACCAACCTTTGTCACCATTGGTTAGTTTTGTCCATCAGCTTCGGTTCCTTTGACCCTCCAGGGTCCAAAGAGTGGAGGGCCCTCTGCAGGGTCGGTGCTGCTGCACCAATTATTCCATAAGGAAATGCAGGTCACGGGGGCTGGGGGTTCTCCAAGATCACAGAACTTCCCCTGCTAGAGGTGAAACTCGCAGGGCTCGCCTCCGGCAGCAGGGCCCACCAACTTGCCAAGGAATTTGTTTTCTACTTGTTTCCTGCGGGAGTCCTGGCGGTGCAGGGGGTTACATGTTGGGCTGCCAATCACAAGGCCACTAGTTGGAAACCACTAGCTGCTCCTTGGGAGAAAGAGGAGGCTTTCCACTCCTGGACAGAATTACAGTCTTGGAAACCCAGGGGGCACTTCTACCCTGTCCAATAGGATTGCTAGGAATTGGAATCTACCCAGAGGCAGGGAGACCGGGCTTTCTACAGTCTGGGAAACCCCCAGGGGGTCGCTGTGAGTCCGCCCTGACTCGATGGCAGTGAGATTGGTGACAGGAATCGTGCCTGGCCTTTTGGGTGGCCCCAGAGTGCCAGGCACGGCAGTGGCGGAACGTTGACCCAGGAGGCAGGTGGGGTCAAGTTGCTGCCGAGAAGTGCGGGAGGCTGTTGTGCAGGGCTGAGGAGAAACACTGAGTCCCCAGAAATCAGTTGATGTCCCCCCCCGCCCCCCGCAATTCCGGCTGGAAGAAGGGGCCCCAGGAATGGGCGAGATGCCCAGCAGGAGGCCTGCCCTGGGTGCACCCTGGAGAGAAGGTTCCTTGCTACCTCTGCTGGCTCCTGGCAGTGCAGCCTGCCTCCATGCCGGCATCCAGGCCCCAGTGTTGGGCCTGAACCCACTCTATGCTCTTGAGTGACCTGGGAGTCAAGCAGGCTAAAATATGTTGCTGCCCCAAGCACGTGAGGATTCTAATCTGAGAGTACCGCTCTGCTAATGTCCCCAAGGACATAGGGACACCCTTTCCTGTGTGCCACAGGGAAGAAGCAGTCGGTACGTCCGAAAGGGGGACATCTCAGGGCCGCCCCTCAGTCCCTGCGTCCGCACACAGGGAGAGGAGCATATCTTGAAGAGTGCAAACCAGTCATCGGCGTCTGTCCGTCTTTACTTTCACTGGTTCTGCTGCAGGAGAGATGACACCCGGGGGCTGGTTTGCAATTCAGAAGCCCACCTCAAGGAAGGACCCCTCTCCTTAGCAGGTGACCTATTCGGACATGCTTAGGGCACACCCAGCAGCAGCTCCCTCCTGTGTAACCAGACCTGGTGGCCTTGACCCCTGTGGTCAGTATAGAGCTGACCTCCAAAAGGCTTTCAGTGGCTGATTTTTCAAAAGGAGACGGGCCTTTCTTCTGAGTTACTCTGGGTGGACTCAACCCCCCGACCCCACCCCAAATCTCCCAGTTAGCATATTAACTGTTCAGATCCTCTGAGAAGGGGCCCTTTCCTGCAGAGGTGGTTAGGACCCAGGGCCTTGGGGAACTTGGTTGCTCTGCTTCTGTTTGGTGACAAAAGATATTGCCTGGTGAGAGACTGGCCAGCGATGTCTGAAATAAGATCGCCTGTGGTACATCTGGAACTTGGCCTTCTCCAGGGTCCCAAAATAGCCAGGCCACTGAAAGGAGGACTTCCTGAGAGGCCTTGAGCGGGTCCCCGCCCGCACCTCACCCCAACATGGCCAGCCAGCACAGTCTACCTCGGTTCAGCTTCCACCCTGCCCTGCCCGGCATCCACATTCCCATCTCTTGCCCTGTCTTGCCATTTGTCCTGCAAGTGGCCAGCCCCATCAATCCCAACCCACCCCTTCTCCACCAAGTTGTCCAAACCGTGTTCTGTGTTTGGGACCAGTCCCCACGCTGTGTGGCCAGGAAGTCTGCTGCTAATATGCCGGTGATCTGCCGTCGGGTCCGTTCTGACCAGGCCACCAACCACACACTCCTGGCTCCTGCCAGCAGCTCTTAGAAGTCTCCCCAGCCTGTCTTCCCAGTGCAGGGACGGCGAGCCTGGGCTGTGCTCCACAGACACCTAGCGGGGTGTGCAGCAGCCCCTGGGGGAGGGGCCACTGGATGGACCAGCCTCTCGCCCTAGGTGCACCGTCCTGCTGAGCTCTGGGGACCACAGTGGCCCTGCTCCCTGTTCCTAACCGGCATGTGCCTCTCTCTCTCTTCTTCCAATTGTAGGAAACTGCATCTTCTGCGAATGGCCCCGCCCGGGAAGGCTCCCGGCTGCCGCCCATTAGAGAAGGTCATGCAGTGTACCCCCAGCTCCGCCCTGGCTACATCCCCATTCCTGTGCTCCACGAAGGTGCGGAGGCCCGGCACCCTGTCCATGCCTACCTGCAGCCAGGGATGCAGCGGTTCCGCTCCGAGGCTGCCGCGGCTCCCCAGAGGGCCCAGTCACCCCTGCGGGGCTTGGTGGAAGCCACCCAGCCAGACAGACCATGTGGACAGGCGGCGGCAGCTGCAGGGGCCCAGCCCCTCGCTGCCCACAGACCTGAGGTGAGGGGAGGCCTGGAGCTGAACACCTGGGAAACAACACAGGGGCTCAGAGGTCCCCCACAAGGATCCTGGGAGCTGACCCTTTGCTCCCCCACATTCCCAGGGATGCATCTCGGGCAGGTGGGGTGGGGGTTGAATGTCCTTGTCGTTAAGGCATCGGCCCAAAGGGGAAGATGCTTGGTCCGCATGTGACCAGATGGGAGTGGGTCTCAGTTCCGTGTGTGTCCCCATGGGCAGGTGCTCCGTGTGTGGTTGGAGCGCCCACTCACGAGATCTCTGGTGTGTGTGTGTGTGTGTGTGTATGTCTCTTAGCGATGCCAGTCTCCAGCTGCCTCGGACTGCTCGTCCTCTTCGTCCACAGCCAGCCTGCCCTCCTCCAGCAGGAGCGCCCTGGGCAGCCACCAGCTGCCCCGAGGCTATATCCCCATCCCTGTGGTCCACGAGCAGGGCTCCAGCCGGCCCGCAGCCCAGCCCTCCCTCCACCAAGCCCAGAAGACCCACTACCCGGCTCAGCAGGGCGAGTACCAAACCCACCAGCCCGTGTACCACAAGATCCAGAGCGACGACTGGGAGTCCCGGCCCCGGCGGGCCGTGTCCCCCTTCAGGTCGCCCGCCTGCAGCGTGTCAAGCCGTGAGGGCTCACCAGCCAGGAGCAGCACACCGGTGCACGCATCCTCACCTGTCCGTGTGCACCCTGCTGCTGCCGACAGACCTCAGGTATGCGGAGCTCGGGTGCTCTCAGCAGGTATCCTGGTACGAACGCTGCCCGGTCCCTGGTCATCCACACACTCGGTGGTATGTCAGAGCCCATTATTGGCAGCCACTGTACCAGGCCGCCTCCTCGAGGTCTTCCTCTTTTCTGCTGACCCTCCACTTTACCGAGCCTGGTACCAGGCTGGCCCCTCCTGATGACATGCCCAAATTACAGGAGAAGGACGTTTCCCCAGCCTCGATTCCAAGGATCTGCCAGACTTCACTTGTCCCAAGACAGATTTGTCTGTTCCTCCAGGGTCCCTTCTGTGGTCTTCACCAACACTCTCTCACCAGCACCGACTCTGTTACAGCCCAGGGTTCGACACAACTGAGCTCTCAGCGTGACACTTTAGCCCATTAAAAAGAAGCTCTTTGGCAATAGATTCGGCCAGGCTCTGTCAGAAGTGGAGGTGGCGACCTTCTGGACATGGCTGTGAAGGGCAGCCGTTGTTAACCCTCCTCACTGTCTTCAGCCTTTGCTCGGCTGGGCTTCCCTCACTGTGGTTTCCTGAGGGCCAGACCTCCAGCCACCTTGGTGGGGCTCCGATGCAGGCCTCCTGCCTCGCCCCTCATGGAACCTGGGCCCCTTGTTGACCGGCCCTGGTGGCCTATCTCCAGATGCCCCGAAAGGGAAGACTTGAGAGAAATCATACAAACAAGTGCCATATGCCCTCAGCCAGATTCACTGTTGGTTCACAGTTTTCTATATCGCTCGGTCATTTCTTCTCTCACTCTCCAGTAGATGCTCATGCATGTATCGGTACACACACACACACACACACACATACACACACACACACAGAGAATCTGTGAATAGTTTGAGAGCGAGTTACAGACACCATGCACCTTAACTTCAAGAGGTATTTCACAAGAGAAGACGTTCCCATTCATGACCCAGTGGGATGACCAGAGGGAGTTAGCGTTCTGACAAGCCTCCTGACCACACAGCCCACGTTCAGATGGCCGTTCCAGGACCTATCCCAGGACCACAAGCACTCTGTGTGGATGTCCCTTCTCTTTCGCCTCCTCCAATCTGGAGAAATTCCCTGGCCTTTCTTTGCTTCTGCGACCTTGGAATTTCTCAAGTACTAGCCATAGAAATACACCGTCAATCCCTCTTAGACAACCGTTGTTTTTGAACACCCAAAGTGGCGGGTGTGATTGGCTGATGAGTGCTAGGACCCCATGTTGACGACTTCTGAGCCAGAGAGATCTGGTGGAGGTGGCCGGTGTTGGGGCAGCAGAGGGGTTCCCCTGATCCATCCTGGGCTCAGTGGTCCTGAGGAAGAGCCCCCCAATTTATAGGAACAGCAGATGGTTCCCCACATGTCTGTGAGGCCATCTGATTTTCGCCCCCCTGTACACGATCCGGGTGCTCACCCTCTCTCGTCGCTCACTCAGAGTCCCTCTGGGAGGTTCATGGAGGCCGGCTGTGGGTCGGAATTGACTCGATGGGAGTGAGTTTGAGTGTTTGCTTGATTTTTCATGGAGGATTTAAGCTAGCTGAGGGGGGTATAAAGTGCCCTGGTGGCACAGGGGTTAACGAGCTTGGCTGCTGACCGAAAGGTCTGAGGTTTGAACCCACCCACCGCTCCACAGGAGAAAAACAAGGCAGCCGCCTTCTATAAAGACGGGCACCACGGGCAGCTGTACTCAGCCCTGCAGGGTCGCTGTGAGTCAGCATGAACTCAGTCGCTGTGTGACTTTGTTTTGTTTTTTTTTTAACACAGAATATTTTATGTATTTAACATTTATTTAATCATTTTATTTGGAGGGGGCTCTTACAAACCTTATAACACTCCATCGTGCAATTGTATCAGGCACACTTGCACATGTGTTGCCATCAGCATTTCCAAAACATTTTCTTTCTACTTGAGCCCTTGGTATCTGCTCCAGTGTATATTATGATTGTGATCTCGTGTCTGACGTGGAGTAGTACTTCAAATGGAGGAGTATTTTAGAAGTGGCGTTGTCCAACTCTTCCCAGTTGGTGACATGAGGTCCCTGTGGTCTTTAAGGGTGTAGGTGGAAGTGTAATGGGGGTCTGCACTCACACAGTTGAGCTCATTATTGTACTGTAGCAGTCTGTTACCGGCTTTACCATCTCCTGTATACTGCTTAAAAATAGACTGGCGAGACAGAGGTTCCTGGCCTGCTTCTCACCGGCAGTCCTAGCGGTCTGTGAGCCTTAGTTATGACCCCTCTCTCTATTCTGTGTCCTCTTAGCAGACCATGGCCCATCCTGAGCCTCCACCTGCTCCCCAGCCTGAAAGCAAACCTGAAAGTCAGCCAGGCCCCGCCGGGGCAGACCTCCCTCCCGGACACATCCCCATCCAAGTCATCCTCAAGGAGCCGGAGGCCAAGACCGCCTCCCAGAAGCCCCCACCGCTCTCTGAGAAGGTGGAAGTCAAGGTTCCCGCTGCTCCCGTTGCTTGTCCTCCCAGCCCGGGCCCTGCTGCCACTGCTGTCCCCCCATCCCCTAAGAACGTGGCTGTGGAAGAGAAGGTGGCCCCCAGCACTGCCCCCACAGAAGCTACACCCCCAAAGGCAGGGGATGCTGAGGCCACCCTCCCAAAGCATCCAGGTGTGCTGAAAGTAGAGGCCATCTTGGAGAAGGTGCAGGGGCTGGAGCAAGCCGTAGACAACTTCGAAGGCAAGAAGACTGACAAAAAGTACCTGATGATAGAAGAATATCTGACCAAAGAGCTCCTGGCCCTGGACTCGGTGGACCCCGAAGGGCGCGCCGACGTGCGCCAGGCCAGGAGGGACGGCGTCCGCAAGGTTCAGACCATCTTGGAAAAACTTGAACAGAAAGCCATCGATGTCCCCGGCCAGGTGCAGGTCTATGAACTCCAGCCCAGCTCCCTGGAAGCCGACCACCCGCTGCAGGAAATGATGGCGGCGGGCAGCCCTGCCGCAGACAGGAGCAAAAGAAGCGCCGCCGGGAGCGGAGGCGATCCCCAAATGGAAACGCAGCGGCCAGAAGCCCCCATTGCAGTCTCGACCCCAGCCCCCGCCGCCGGCACCACAGACACAGCTGGCAATCCCGCAGCCCCGTAGACCCCAAGACATGAAAGCCAGACCCAGAGACTTGGCATCGATGGTGTGCTTTAGGGAGTTCTCAGATGCATGCATTTCCAGGGCTTGAAATCATTTGGTTTGTAGTCTTCATAGCCGCTTGGTACGCAGTAACAACAGGGGTGGGGGGAGGCCAAACACTGATCAGAGGGCTGAAAGGAAAGTGTCACTGTTCTGTTCTTCTTGGTCCTTCCTGAAGAGGAAGCTGCTGGTTTTTCCCAAGCTTAACCCCTCCCCGACTTGTTGGGGCCCCCCTCTCCACGCACGGGCACCACAAATTAACCAGCCCCACGCGCTGTCTCCCCGTAGCTCTGGCCTGAAGTGCAGTGCCTTTGGGGAGCAGACGGGAGCCCATTTTCCCATCACAGAAGTACCACATGCACCCTTCAGAAACGTTGCCATTTGCCTGGGATGACTTCCTCCATGTCGTAGTTAAAAATACCTGACTTTAAGAGCCGCAGGCCTATCTGTATGTTGGATGACTTTAATTGTCCCTTCAAAAAATAAAGTGTTGGTGTAACTCAAACGTGTTCTCTGTGGTTTCTAAAAGTTTGGGAAGAGTGGCAGCTCCTGCTACCAACTTCCGTCAGAATCATCAGTGGCAGGCCTGCTGGCCCTGCTCCTGACACAGCAGGCCTTGGTCAGCTTTCTGTCTCGGGTTCCAGTTGGAGCCTCCAGTTGGGCCCGTGAACTCAGGTATCAGGGCAGTGCCTGCCCATACCCCTGCAGACCTGCCCCAGCCAACGGCTCACCTGGCCTCGGGCCATCCTCAGGCTGACCCAAGGAGCGAAGGCGGTTCAGAAGTCACCCAGGGAAGCGAGTTCTCAGAATCGCCCAAGCCAATTGCCAAAAAGTCTGTGGAGTCCAGGCCACTGGGGTTGGACATCAGCTCTGTGAGAGCCGTGTGGGGGTCAACTCTGTTGGGCACCTCTTGAGTCCGCAGACCAGTCCTCAGTTTATCTTCTCAGATCAGGTTCCGAGAAGGCACTCGAGTTAGGGACCAGATGCTCATAGAAGCAAGGGGGTTGAAGAAGGGCTTTCTTCCGGGCCCAGTCTTTTCCAAAAGCAAGGGAAGGGCCACGGCCCTGGAATCTCGAACGGAGCTAGATTTTTCTTCGGCCACTTGATAAGGCCCGAGCATGAATCAAGAGATGGACCTAAGCCCTTGGGAGGAGTCTCAGCGAGTGTCCTGGCTTAAGAGCACCGAGCCGACTTCTCATGACTGTATTGAGTTTAATATCGGTGCCTGACGCCGCCTCACAAAAATACATCCTGGTACACTTGCCACTCAGCCTGCTGGGAGGGCTGACGTCACTCACATGGGAGTGTGCCAGCATCCTTGCTGGGTGAACTCACTTGGGGAGTGAATACAAGCTGACTATGAACGACAGACATGCCGCTGATTCTAGAAACTCAAACACAGAACCAGAAAATTAGCTACTGAACTATTTTTTAAAATGAGCCACAGATAATGTGACCCTTCTCTCCCGGACTTGGGCAACTATCAAAAAAAAAAAAAAAAAGACATCCCAAACGCTGTCATAGAGCAATGCTGACTCATAGTGACCCCCTGTGGGTTTCCGAGACTGTTAACTGTTGACGGAACAGCTGACCATGCAGATGGCAGCCCAACACATAATCAGCATACCACCGGGGCTCCTGGACATCCATCTAGGTGGCCTGAAGTGATGTGAAGGCTCCTTCGGTGGTGATTGAATTCATTTGATGTTATTGTCACCAAACATCATCCCTAAGTAGCTCTTCCACATAGTTAGCAATTGCAGTTGTCCGGATTCCATGAGACGAAGAGGTGTACTGGTTCTTTTTGTGTTGGACCCTGGGCCTTGCCAGGGGGCAATGGGCCAGGCACTGAGCTAGCTGGCTGCAAGATTCTTGTCAAGTACCAGGGCCTTTTGACTTCTCAATCAGTCCCATACCCTTTGGAGAACATGTTTCAAACACAAGCGTGAAACACCTCCTGGGTTCAATTCAAGCTGCTCTAACAGCTTCGTGGCTCTGAACAAGGTATGTAGCCTTTCCCTCCCGATTTACCGCTGAGGGTCAAATAGGAACTGATCGCAGGCACTGGAAGTCGTGCAGGTCATGTGACAGAAGTTGGCTCTTTAAACATCCTGTTTGAGAGTTGACACAGGAAGTGACTTGCTCCCTCTCAGAGCCAGGAGCCAGCGCTAAGATTTGAATCTAGGTCCATGAGCCATAAAAGGCCACACTCATGTCACATCCCTGGGACCCGTGGGCTGCGGTGGCCAGGCGGGAAAGGATCACCCCTGCCCTCCTGACTGCCCAGAGTGTTAGTTGTTGGCATACCGAGTCCGAATCCGACGATTCCTGTTTGCCACATGAAGCTGGTGGCGTGGAGCGTGTGAGGACGGTGTCTACACTGAGCAGCTCATGAAGGGTGACATCCACACTGACACCAGCTCACGAGGGGTGGCGCATACACCCATGCAGTTCCTGATGGACACTGCGCTGACAAGGAGAGACGAGTAGGGTGCATCTACACTAAGGTGACCAGACGTCCCGCTTTTGGCGGGACAGTCCCGATTTTTAACAATTTTTCCTGCGTCCCGCGGTGTTTTAAAAAAGTCCGATTTTTGAAAAGAACGCACGACAAGCTAGGGTGTACGGTTTTTGGCTGCCATGTGGCTATTTCGCCAGGATATGAGTTTTACAATGGTGTCCCGCTTTACCAATGTTAAAATCTGGTCACCTTAAGTACACGGAACTCAGCTCGTGAGGGACAGACTGTGTCTACACTGCCAGCAGCTCTGGAGGGGTGGTACCCACACGGACACTGCCTGATGAGGGGCCATACTTACACCAAAGGCAGCCCCTGAGGGACAACATCTGTACAGATCTCCTGCATCTCCACTCAAGGTTCAGGTCCCTGTCCTCCCAATGAGCCCTCGTGAAATGTGGGTTAAGCTTTGGGCTGCTGAACAAAGTCAGGAGTTCAAACCCACCGGCCACTCTGTAGGAGGAAGAGACTGCTCCGTGAAGACCGGCAGCCCCGGATGGAGCGGCTGTTGACTGTACTATCGCGTCGCTGTGAGTCTGAACTGATTCCACGGTTCAGTTTTGTGTCCCCCCGCCCACCGATGTCTACAATCAAACTTCTCTACCCAATGGGTCACATCTGCCTGCCCCACCCAGGCCCACCCTCTTGTAAAAAGGCCCACCCTCAGTCGGAGGGCTCACAGACGTCTCTTGCTCCCCACACCCTTTGCTTGCCACACCCTGGGTTAGGATCTTCAGTCATTTCTTCAGTAAGACTCTGTCCTCTGAGGGCAGGCCCATCCTGACCCCTCCTCACCCCCAGGGCTGTCCAGGCCTGGCCACATAAAGCACCTGGTGTGGCCTGAGACCAGGAAAATTCTCTCAACTTTAGCCCTGACTACTCCCAGACTAAATTGAAGTTTCTTCCATAATAAACATTACCTGTCATCAGTTAATGAGTGTCTCAGGCCCAGATCCCCCACCAACTTCCTCTTGTAATCCCCAGGTATGTAATTTGGGGGATGATTTGGGACCAGCTGTCCCCACTCTCTGGGCTTCATTGTCCCCAGCTAGCTGAAAGGACATTGGCCCCAGTCCCTCTGGAGGTGGGGTTGAACCCGGTGAGTCCACAGTTGGGGCTCTTGTGGCCTCTGTGCTGGGCGTTCCCCAGCACCAGCCTGGCCCTGGGGCCCAGCGTAGAACCCTGTCTCAGCCTGCGAATTCCTGTGGGCTCCCGTATGAGTGTGGACAGCCTGTGTCCCCTGTCCTGTAACATTATACAAACGCAATCGAATGCCAACGGACAGGGTTCAGGGCTGCAGTTATTTTGGGATGTGGAGGAGCTTGTGGGAAAATGCTGGAACATGTCTGAGTCACTTGGGCAAATAGCCTCCCTTTCGTGTCCCAGCATGCCGTCGGCTTCAGGGCGGCACAAGGAAGGCTCAGGCGGGCACCCACCTTGGTGGTTGGCTGCACCCTTCCTGAAGAGTACTGCCTTCGCCTCAGCCTCACCACGGACTGACTGCGCTCCAAGATGCTCACATGCCGAGGGGCGAGGGGCCTGGACCTCAAACCCGTCAGCTGCCCCACGGGAGACAGATGTGGAGCCCGCGTCCTCAACGATTCCAAAGCCAGTACTGTGGAATCGATTCATTCCGACTTAGAGCGGACCCTATCGATCCGCGTGGGAGCAGATCACCTTCTCTTTCTCCCTCGGAGCCACTGGTGGGTTTGAATCCCCAACCCTGTGGGTAGCAGCCCAGCACCTCCCCCACGGTGCCACCCAAAATCCACTGCCCTGGAGTACATTTCAACTCTCCAGTGACCCTATAGGACACAGTAGAACCGTTCCTGTGGGTTTCTGAGAGGAAATCTTCGTGGGAGTAGGAAGCCTCCTCCTTCTCCCGAGAAGCTGCTGGTAGCTTCAAACTGCTGACCTTGTGGTTAGCAGCCTAATGCGTAATCCGCTCTGCCACCAGGGCTCCTGCATAGCGCCAACTGGCCTCCTTATTCCGTAAAGGTGACAGCCTCGGATTAGAGCCTTTGACTGTCCCATGGGGTCTCTCTCAAAAAGACTGTGGTGGCTCCTCCCTCTGAAATCCGACCGGAAAGGAACATGAACATTCTACCCTATACGATGAAACCAGTTCAAATGGATGAAGGAACTGACTGCAGAAGGCAAAACCTTAACGTGTAGGTTAGAAGTTTTATTTTTTTATTTTTAGGCATGCTGAGGGAGAACGATGGGTTTTCCACTCCCTAAAGAATTACGTTCTTGGAAACTGCCAGGGCAGTTCTGCCCTCTTCTATAGTATAAGGTCGCTCTGAGTCAGCCTTGACTCAATGGCAGTGAGTCTGGTTTTATCATTGGTTACTTTGTTACTTTGGGCTTAGATGTATCCTCCTCCATCCACCTAGAAGGAGGTGACCAGACGTCCTGCTTTGGGTGGGACAGTCCCAATTTTTAACAATGTGTCCCGCGTCCCGGCCGTTTTTAAAAAGTCCCGATTTTTTGAAAGAATGCACGACAAGCTTGGGAACGGTGGGAGAACGGGAAGGGAATATACGGTTTCCGGCTGCCATGTGGCTATTTCACTAGGATATGAGTTTTATATTATTTTTGTTAATTTTATAATGTTAAACTTTAATAATAACAAATAATTGTTGAGAACTGATTATCGAGAACTGTTGATCAGTTTGCATTGTTGATCAGTTGTTAGAATTAGACCACCATTGTGTGGATTTAATGAACAATGGCATTTGGGGGCATTGGCAACGACGAAGACATTTTGTAACTGTCTCTCAGACGATACACATCGTACTGCGTGCTAGTGCTAAACAAGTGATGTCAATAAATCAGCTATTCAGATCATTTAAGTGAGTAATTTATTTTTAATCAGGAACACCCCCACTCCCACCCCCACCCCCCAGCCCCCAACCCCCAGTCAGTGGTGTCCCGCTTAACCAATGTTAAAATCTGGTCACCTTAACCTAGAACCGATTAGAAAT